ATTTCCTATTGATTCTAAATAAATCTCTTGGTTCGAACGATTAACCAACCGATTGTCCGCTTGCGTTGGTAATTCGAGGTACCGTGTAAACCGGTAACGACAGGTTACTGCCAAGTATCTTTTACGTAGCCGTATGCGGCAAGGATACTATTATGGTACTCCCCGACAACTGTGTTCGGTACAAGCCCGAACTTCCATCCAACCACCTTCGTCATCTTCTAACAAGACCTTAAGAAAACTCGGAAAACAATTAAAAAGGAGGGAAAATAAAATAAAAATGACCAACCGACACTATCTGCCTAGGGCGGAACGGTGTTTTCATCCTTTCCTTTTTCCCTGCTTGCCGCGCTACTGCCTACCAAATTGCCCTCCTCCCCCGGTCGATGTTCGGAATTGGTTGTGACCGCTGAGCCGACTTTGCCGTTTTCTGATCGAGAGCAAATGATTTGACCATTCCTTTTGACTTCGAGATAGTTGATCGTTTAGTAGATGAGCCAGAGATTTACCATATCTCAACCGTAGAACACCAGATTTGCCTGTTAACGGTTCTTCATACTACATGATTGGAAACCTTAACATGCCTAAAATACCAGCGAAACATGTCGATTACTCGGCTCTTATTGAACTCTCGGGTCCCGGAGAGTGAGGCACGAATCAAGTGGACGGCAGCAGTAATTGTTCCAAATGTTGGGTGTTGACCAGCGTAATAATAACAAAATTAAATAATACATGACCATTTGATTTTATTTTTCTCTTCTGATATTTTCCTTTTTTTCTGGTTCGACATTTTTTTAAAAAATTTTATTTTTATTTCTCTAGATGGCTTTTTGCCTCCGCGAGTTACGATCGTCACCGCCCTCTCAACCTTCTTCAATCGGTTTAGTACTAATCGCCTTTTTTCTTACTCTTCCTTCTCTCCCTCCTTTTCCCTAAGCGTGTCTTGACCTTCTATTCCGAATTCTGACACTTATTTTTTCTGCCCTCCCTCTTAACTTTGCGCCGCCGCCGCCGTTCGTCGCCCCCCTTTCCCCTCCCTCCATTCCCGTGATTAGACGGCTACCTTGGGTGCTGTTGTTTTGGAAAAAAATAATCATTTTTATTATTATTATTTTTTTTTACCGTGTTAACCTTTTTTTTTTTTTTTTTTTTTTTTTTTTTTTTTTTTAATTTTTTTTTTTTTTTTTTTTTTTTTTTTTTTTTTTTTTTCCCCTTCGCCCCCCTTTCTTCTTCCTTTTCATACTTGTTGTGGAATCCGCACCTGTAACTGCACTGTTCCTGACAGTTCTCATTTGATTTTAAAATTTTGTATCTTTCTGAAAATCCTGGTCCCTTTCGCGCATTGTTGACGCGAAGCACTAGCTGCTTTTTTTTTTCTTCTAAGTACTGCTGGTTGTTGTGAGACCCACCTACACGCCGCCTCGCTGGTGGATCAGGACCATTGACTGTTGACAACGTGCGGATAAAAAGAAGTTCCCACACAACTCGATTTTCCTGGTGGGTGACCGTGGGGAATTCACGATTAAGCATCTCGACCTCATCCTGACTTCTTTTCTGCAGTGGAGTCACACTTGTTCCTGTACGCCCCCATCATCGACTGCAAGGATCCTTGAGCGTTTGCTGGTTGAGGAATTGATTGTCCGATCGAATTTACACTCCGGACGTCTCCATATCCCCGTCCTATCACCGCGTTAAGTGGGAGGATTCATTCCGTCGGAAGAGGAAAATCAAAAGAAAACGTACCAGAACGAGGATAGAGAAAAGAACTACAGGAGGAAAACTCTGCAGAAAGTGATCCGTTTCTCGCTTGCAGTGAGAATTGGCAGTCGAGAGCACACGTACCACGCTTGCCTGTTCGTCAAGAGACCAGCCGGCGAAAAGGTTTTTCTCGTTCTGCAATCGATGATCGGGATACCGTGAACTCTACCTCCAGTCCAACCCTGTTCTTCCCCTCCATCTGATATTCTCTCCGCTTCATGATGGATCCCAGATCTCATCCGTCGCGGCCCCCATCCACCAGCTTACCCCAAGGCTCCACGCCTCTCCCGACTACTATCTCGAGTATGCCAATGCCTCAGTACACCATGCAGCCTCAGTACCCCGTGTCCCAGCCTCATACTCTCCCCCCGCTGCAGCCTCATCACAGCCAATCTCCTGCCCCTCATTCCTACATGGGCCAGCCGGCGTATAGGCCGGATCTGTCGAGGTTTCCCACTTCTACTCACGATGTTTACGCGTCGTCTACCGCTCCTATCATGCCTCACACCACCGTGGGTAGCCTGCCTCCATCTTCGTTCCTCTCCCACCCGAATCCGCAGGCACAGCCCCAGCCTTCGCAATATCCTCCACCTCACAGCGTGCTGCCTCCGGCTTCTAGCGCGCAGACATATCCGCAGCCGATCGCGCCGGCACCCCCGCGGGACCGGCGCCCGGACTTTTCTGGCATGCCCTCCGGTGCTTTCAGCTACTCAGATGGCAAGGGCTCACCCTGGATGAACCCGGATCCTGTTGCGGGCGCAAATGGTGCCTCGCCCTACGGTGCAAAGGAGCCTCCCCGTACACAGGTGGTTGGCTCTCAAGGCCGACGCGGAATTCTCCCGAGCGTTCCGGGACGCGCCACGCCAGTCGCAAACGGCGTCAATGGCACGGCGAAGAACACCACAATTCCGGCCAAGGATGCCGATGGAAAATTCCCTTGCCCGCACTGCAACAAGACCTATCTCCACGCCAAACATCTGAAGCGTCATTTGCTCAGACGTGAGTTTCCGAATCCTTGAAGTGCGCCGAAAGTTCTTAATTTCGCTGACAAATCTTACTTTTCTGCGCAGATACCGGTGACCGCCCATACATGTGTGTTCTGTGCAAGGACACTTTCTCCCGTAGTGATATTTTGAAGCGCCACTTCCAGAAATGCTCGTTACGACGCGGCAACCCGACGGGAGCGACCCACTTGTCGCATCCCCAGGCACATTTGAAGAGGTCCCAAGCTGCGAATCCTGCTAAACCGGTTCAGGATGAAGTCAGTAGTACCGTCCCTCCTGCCACTGCCCTTCCGGGTACGGCTTACGGCGAGGGGGCCGTGAACGGTAACGGGCTGGCTTCAGGCCGACCTGGGTTCACGGATCAGCAGCCTCTGGGCTTTTCGATGTCGTCGGTCAATGGGATGAACCGTGGTCAACCGGATGACGCGTTCCCCGCTGGTCAGCCACATCAGAGAGGCCCCTGGCTGGCGGCTCCCAAGCAGAACCCGTATCTCGCGCAACCTGGCACTGATGTATCTCAGCAGCTGAGTGTTGACCGTCCTTCCTATGAACAGGTAAAACCCCCGGTGGTCCAAGACCCTAAGCGCCCAGTAATGCCTGGGCCCACTCCCAATCACACTGGCGAAATTGACTGGACTTCGATGTTTCAGCCCGGAGCGAATGATGGTTACATCAACCCCGTTTTCCCCCAATCCATGGCGTCTGGCCAGGAGCCGATCCATGCTCACGTCGATACCGAACGGAAATTCTATCCTACCACGACCGGTGGTCCCCAGGAAGGTGGCATGAATGGTCTTTACTTGGCTTCGACCACTTTGGCCGGTGATGGTAAGTCGCATGGTTCCTAATACGATCTTTCCGGTCGATCAGGGCGTCGTCTTTGGCTCACAAAAAACCTAGGTACCGTCCCGCCCGCGAGGCAATAGTGGCGAAACGAAACGAATGCGTGACGGTCGACTGCGTTGTTGATTTCGGACATTGTTCGTGCAAATCAAGATGGAGCTTTGTATAGTCAAATTTTCTTTTGGTCGGAAGACTACTAGGCCTCTAAACTATCTCAATGAGTCTAGCTTGCTGAAGACACGCGCCAGATCACTTTAATAGGGATTTACGGGTCACTATATGGAATCTGCGCCGTTCCACTGTTTCGGCATCGGCTGTGCAGATGTACTTTGACTGCATTATCGCCGCGACCGAGAATTGCATACTATCTGAAGTGTGTGGGCTATGTCGCAAACGTCCGGCGTTGCTCACTTGATCGCATTCGACTTAAACAGTTTTTCTTCTTATTTTTACGAAATACGGTCACCTGTGTCTGGTTGTTGGGTTTCAAAATTGTGTCAGCATTTTTATACGGCGAGTGCAATCTTGTGGTGGTCCTGGTTCAGTTTTGTTTCTTTCCATCCATTATGAGTGGGCAGATGGGATGGTGTGTGTGTGTGGCTTTTATCCGGCGTCCGACAAATAGACCTGGGCATGTGTTTCTTGTGTTTGTGTTCCTGTTCAGCTTTGCATCGTTTTTTTTCTTGCAATGTGCCCCAAAAGATTTCGCGTGGGATGGCCTCTGTCGACTCTTCGTTGCGATTCGCATTGTGTCCTGTTTCATTACCTGGTCGATCCCCGAGCGCACCGGCCGACTTCAGCAGCGTTCGGGTTTGTTCTGCATAGACCTCACAACCGTTCTGATTCGATTCGCATGTCGTTCCCCCGACCAACCATGTAAGTACATTCGAGGTGTTCTGCTCGGACATATGAACTTGAGCTGGACTGAGGTGTTTTGTTCATCTATGTTTGTTGAATTTTTTCTGTTTTTTTTACTGTGCTTGGTGTTGTCTTTTCGTGTCTTCTGTTATTCATCTCTGCTCGAATTGTGTGAAAAGGTAGCCATCTGTTTCTTCATACGTGTCGCGGCTGGGTTGCCCGGCGGACGTTGGCAAAGGCTCCTGCGCCTCCTACAGCGTTGGAGAGCCTGGTCGATGAGCTTCTGTTGATGTGCGTTGGGTCATGCCCCTGGTCAGCCCCCCATGATGTGTTATACGTCGGTTGTCTTGCTTGTGTCTATTTGGTTGCATTGTGTCTCATTTCCTTTTCTCTGGCGGGGTTTATGGCAGGTCCTGTGTTGGGGAGTGAGGCAACTCGTGCTCTCGGCCAGGCTGGATGGAGAAAACATTTGGGTGGAATTATAAGAAACAACGCCAAGGGAATCCAAAAATTAGAATATAGACTCCGATCGGATTAGATTCTCGAAGCTAAAAGGGATAATGAGGGAATTAAAAAAGAATAAAAATACAGATCTATAAAAATTATTATTGTTCCAATGTATCCTCCTTCCCATTACGTAGGATATATCACATATAATCATGAGGAGACATGTATAATTAATAAATAATAATAAAGTATTAACTATGTATGTCCACGGTTTCATCATGCCACCCGGGTAGTCGCCGGACTACTAAGTAAAGAAGCTGGATCCCGTGATGAAGGGCTCGATAGTAGTGGATGTGATTCCTGGTCCAGTGACTTGAGACCCATTTGCCCGGATGGCAGTGGAACCCGAGAATTCCCTATGGATAGCACTAGTAGTATGTAGTATGGAGCAGTGAGAGTTCCAGACTACAGACTAATGGATTGTCAGATGCCACCGAAGTCAACCCCACGTTTCTTCTGGTGAACTTCCCCTCCGCGGGACAGTAGATTTGGGATATCCGATTCGTACGAAGGGGTTTGTGCTCTTTTCAGTGACTAATGATTACGACGGCCTTAGAAGAGTCAACTAGTAATGTTATTTACTACCTCCTAACTTCTGCCGCATAAAGAAGAAAGAAGAAGAAGAAGAAGCAGAGCAATAGTCAAAAACCGGAAAACGAGAGGAGAAGGAAGACGTCACCCGTGAGTTTCTTTATATGTGCCTCCACTGATTGGCTCCCCGACCACGGGATACCTCGGAGAAATCGATTGGATTGAATGCGTTTCCTCAAACTCTGGCGTCCTATTTTCTTTCGTCTTCCTCTTTTTCAAATCCCTCGCCGCAGACTCGCCGATCGTCATCGAACTATCATCCACCGTGCATGTGTCCAGGGGTACTTTAGTGTTATGTTCGTCTCGGTTGAGATCTTGACCGTTACTTAGTGACCCTTCGCCGGTATTCGGATCATTGCTGCCAACTCTTTCCCTTCTGCCGACCTCCACTCAGATCCTATCTATATCTCGAGAGCCCTGTCGCTGCCGCGGGGAACCCTTTCTTGGCTAAAGATACAAATATAATAGCACTTGACGTTCGTGGTCAATCTGACCGCGACACCATTGCCCAGCCTCTAATTCATGCTCTAACGATCTGCCTCGTACGACTGGTCTTCATCACGATGTCTACCAACCGTCCATTTTTGGCCAACTTTTTGGCGGCGTTTCGCGCCCAGTCAACGATTAAGGCCTCGGCCGCTGGCTCCCAGTCGGCCACAGGCACCTCCTCGTCTCTCTCTCCGACTCAGATATCACAGAGTGCCCGCGCTATAGCAACCAAGGCAAGCAACTCAGGGGCGTCCTCCGAGGCTGCCCCTACGACTCATTATCATCATCATCACCATCATCACCACCACTCATCTTCAGCCGCCGGTTCCCACTCCCGACCCCACTCACATACCCGATCCCCACTGAATCAATCGTCTCCCGCCGGGGACTCCCCGGTGCCTTCGTCCTCCGCCACCCCTCCAGCTCCATCGTCCCCGCCAACTCCATCCAACCCTATTCCGATTGCCAATGGGCCGGACCGCCAACGACGCGGGAGCGACAGCTCCAACGGATCGGGCGGGTTCCGAGACGCTCTCGGGCCGGAGAAATGGTACATTGGTGGGAGGACGCCCGGCGGAGAGGAGCGTTTCTATCGATTAGGGATGGTGACGAAGGGCGGCGGCCGATTAGGCGGGAGCGGTCGAGTAGGAAGTATCGACCAGTTGAGCTTGTGATTGATCTCTTTCCTTTAGCCTTTTGCGTATACAAAACTTTTTGAACGACGTCTACGGTATCAAAATGTTTGCTTGGCGTTCGGTTTGCGCATGAACGGCGTTCGGGTTTTGGATGGACTGGAAACTGAAAACGTCTTACCTGAGCTTACCTTTGCTTTTCTTTCTTCTTTGTCTCTCTCGGGTTGGATTATATTCTGATATACTTTGGACTAACGTGTACATGAAGTCATGGGATTTGGCCGTCAACCTTGTCAGATGTCTGGTTGAGTATGGACCAGTGTGATTATACGATAAAATGTCGAGTACTAGAATGTGGATTTGCTGACTTCTTTCCTGCTTTGAGGAGGAATGGTTTTCCTTATAATACGCCCCTTGAACTCCTTATACTCATTAATCTTATCTATACCTCCTCCCTCGAAGTCAGTCTTGTCAATCTCACATATCGCAAGCGCCATCATCTATCCAAACACAATAGTGAACGCAGAACAGACGATGGTGGCATTGTTTAACAATCACTACGTCAGGTACAACCTCCGTAACGACTGCTATCACACTACATAAGATTAGACATAGCCCCGTCAAGCTATAATAAGACAATGAAATACCTCCACCCACAGCAAGGGAACCTGCTGCGTCATATAAGACAACACATCTCCCGGGATCCCCAAACCCCGACACAACCGACCCCTCATTAACAACGTAGAAGTTAACATACGAAACAGCCGACGCATCCCCATCATCCACCCTCGAATCTCCCACCAAAAACGTCACATCCAGCTCATCAACCACAATCCACACTCAATCTCCGGTCCCCGAGAGCATCCCTCCCCCGACTTCACCCTCATAACCCTTAGTTATTCCACGCACTCACCTAATCCGTCTTCCACGAATACGGTCCTGACACAACAACAATACCAGACCTGATAAACCTCACTAACCGCATCAACATGGCAATCAGTGATATCCAGTTCCCCTCCATCTAGGAAACCAAGTCATCTTCTCCACACCCAGGAGCCACCCCTAATTTCTCCCTCCGCCTCACCCTTCGTTAAAAAAATAAGGGTATGTATGTATATAAGGACAGGATTGGTAGAAGATGTACTGACGGTTTGTGTAAGCTGCAATTGTCTAGTTCATTTCGGGGTCTGCGGACAGGTAGGTATGTAGGGTTACATTTGGAGGAATCACTGTGTTGGCATTAAAGAAAAGTGTTGTATGAGTTGTTGGTGTGTTGGTGTATTGATTGTCGGGTGTGTTCAACATGTACCTAGTACTGTATAGATCATTGTCTGGGGCTATTCTTCACTCAGAACCAAATTACCCAAGTACAATACCATGCATGTATATGTTACAGAGTATCCATACCGTAACCCAGCAAAAAGAGAACCCTACGCACCCTCCCCATTCAGCAACCTCGTTCTCTCCTCCTCTTCTTCTTCGTCTTCCTCCTCAAATCCCCTCACCTTCTCACCCTCATCACTAAGCCACAACATCGGAATAGCAGTCAACCCGGCTAACAAAGCTAACGTCCAGGACATATTCTTCCAGCCGAACCGATACTCAATAAACCCACCCCAAAGTGGGCCTACAAAGAGCCCAAGGAATTGCGCCATGGTTTGTACGCCGAATGCCTGTGCCACCGCGCCCTTCTTGCCGAAGATCCCTGGTCGCTCGCGCTCCATGTCCTCGAGGACTTTCTGTGTTTCGACATAGAGGGCGGGCACGCACAGGTTCATGAGGAGGCCGATGAAGGTAAGGAGGGTGATGAGGAGGACGATGTGGGAGGTTGTGTTGGATTCGACGAAGCGGAGGCAGATGAGGGGGATAGAGAGGAAGAGGAAGCCGGTTAGTGTTACCTTGCGGGCACCGTAACGGTCTGAGAGGTAGCCTTCGGGACGGTTAGAAAGTGTCGATGGCCTCTTCCATTCTTGGGTTGGGTCTTACCGAAGTAGGGCTCGAAGAACGCGGTGATAGCCGAGGGGAGGAATGTTAGTCCTGCACCTTGCGGTCCCCAGTGGAATCGGGTTTCGACGAATACGGGGATTGTCTGGGGTGCGATAGCTGCGTTAGTATCTGTTGGGATAACCTGGAACCTGGTGGGAAAGGAGAAAAAACGTACTGCATCGAAAGCGGCATACAAGAGCCCGTGAACTAGGAGAGCCCATGACGCAATCATAACCCGCGGCTGGCGGATAATGAGGAATAGGGCTGGTTTCTTCGACTTGGGTGACTGGAAATCCGATGGTTCTGATGCGTCGCCGAAGGTGTTATACCCCCCGGCGTGGGGGCTTGACTGACTCGTCTCCGAGTCCTCAAGGAGCCACTGATGGGCAACCTTCTTCTCAATCACCGCGATCCGCATGAGCAAGTCCACGCCGACGATCGCGAACGCCATCGCGAAAACCGCTTGATATCCAGCTTTCTCGTAGAGGATCCCACCTATCAAGGGGCCGAGCAGAAACCCCAGCGCAACAGAAGAGCCGAGGTAGCCGATCACCTGGCCGAGATTATCGAACGAAACGGAGTCTGTCAAGAGCGCGAGACCTGCGACGGCGACCATGGCCGTCGCGCCGCCTTGCAACAATCTGGCGACAATAAACAAGCCTATTGTATGCGCAATTGAGAGGATGATCATGGATGCGCCGAGGAGGATGAGCCCGAGCAGGTAAGGGAATTGGCGGGTGGGCGAGACGTCAACAATGTAACCGAATATGGGGCAGCAAATGCATGCGACGGCAGCTTCGCACATAAGTAATACACTGACCCAGTACTCGCCTGTTGTAGAAGTCAGCAAGGAATGGTGCAGATGTGAGATGAAGGGGATGCACGAACGGTCTTGGTAGGGGACGCCGGCGCGATCAACCAGGGCTGTTGGCATGACGGGGACAATCTGAAGCTGCTGTGAGTAGGCGCATCATGAAAATACGCGCAATTCGACCGAAGTCCTCGCTCACCATGGCATATAGATAGTAGTCCTTATGTGTCGTTAGCTATCTTCCTTTGCGCGATTCAAGGACGCAGCCACTCACCGTGAACAATGACGTCCATACTGTTGCAACAATAAACACCGTCGATGAGCGATATCGTAAGAGCCATGGAGGGCGTTTACACCCTTCGGAGATCAGAGATGCCATCTTGTGTACGCCAAATCTGTACCTGGTGGATGTCCGGGAGTGACGTTGTAATGATCTTCGGGGGTGGAGAAAGAGAAGCGGTTGCGTGTCTTTTTTTTTTTTTTTTTTTTTTTTTTTTTTTTTTTT